GGTTAAAATCGGTTAATCGATCGAGAGGATGATATATATATAATATTAGTATGGTATGATTTTGTAAGTTAGTATGTTTGCGAAATTTCCACTTTGTATGTATGATTTTTTATGGTACGTATATACTTATCACAATATATAATAATATGTATGTATGATAATATGATTTAATTCAACAGTTACACAGAAGACAATTAAACAATATATTAAAATACGAAAAATATAACTATGTAATTATTCTTTCACTAATTTTTTTTATCAATTCAAGATTTATTTTTTTTATTTCTTTTATAAATATTTTATTACAGAATTATAATAATGATATTAAATAATATGTACAATATTAATAAATTTTAATAATTTGCAGGATGAAAGTGATAATGATAGTGATTTAAATCAGTGATGTGCATTTGTACTTCCAATAACATAAAAATTTGGATGGAAGCAAATGGTTTTATTAGAAAATTATGCTTCCAATCTTTCCAAAGGTGCTTCCAATAGTGCTTCCAATATTTCAAGAGCACATTACTGATTTAAATGAAGAGGAAGTAGATTCTATTGCAGTGTTTTCACAAAAAATAAGTGTTAAAGAAGTCATTTATTCTACAATTCCAATTGAATATCCAATGACATCAGAAGCTGGGGTTGCAACTGTATTCAATGTTACAGGATGGACTAACCAAAGAGATTGTTGGAATAATGTAAAAAGAATTATTTAATTAATTTTATTGATTGTTTTACTTAATAATTTATTTAATAGTTTTAAAAATACTTTTCTTTAGATCCAATATTCATTTGGGCAGTGGAGGTCAAGGATTAATCAAGGACTGCCCATGTTTTGGTAATGTTAGCATTAAAAAAGAAAGAAGAAAATGCATGGGCATAAAACACTGTGAATACATTGATCAAAATATAATCATAATGAAGTTGATTTTGATTCAGACGATTGGATTAAAATTAATCATAAACAAGTTGAAAATAAAACTTATGCGTATGTATAAATAAAGGATATATATTATAACAAAAAATTAATTAATTTAATTATTTTAGTCTTTATTTTGGAAGTTTAGAATCCAAGTGTAGATTTAAGCAAAATGGAGAGTATAACAAATAAAAAAAGTAAAGGAAGGAAGTAAAACAGACAAAAAGCATCAAAAAGTTGATGATAATAATTATTTAAATTTAGATTATCATGAAAATGATAGTATTGAATTTGAAGAACAACAAATAGCTTTGAGAGAAAAGAAGCTTTAAAAGAAGCTTCTGTTAGAAAAGCTGTTGCTGAAGCCTGAAGCTGAAGCTTTAGAATTAGCTAACTTAGTAAAGAAAAAGGAATTAGGATTATAATGTAGGCAAGAAATCCTATATAATTTTTTTATAGGTAATTTAGTATTTTACAGCTTCAATTTATTTTACTTAAGTTCTGTGAAAAAATTTAACAAATTTAAAATTTAATAAAGAATATAAATACATTTTTGTGTTTATAATTTATTTATTTAAAGTTAAATGCACATAAATAATGACATGCTAATATAACAAATAAAAATATTTATTTAAATTTTTTATTTTCATATTTTAAAGAAGGAGCGAGCGCCATTGCATAGGACTTCATCGGATGGTAAAAAAGTATGATTTATATACGTATGTATGATTTTTTTTTTACTACATACGTACAATTTTTTTAAAATCATACGTACTAACAAAAAACGCAATCTACTATTTTACAAAATCATACTAAGATCAGATACACCGATCGATTGATCATCTCCAAAATAGATAATAAATTGACCATAAAAAAAAATTTGTTTTTAAAATTTTTTGATTTTTTTTAAAAAAATAAACATTTGTTTTATATTACATCTTTATAAAGTGGCTATTTAACATGAGTAATAATGAACTGAATGACGATTTCTGAATTGAGTATTGACTATAGAAATATTGAAATATCGTTAAAGCTTACATCTTCCACTACACTTTCTAAATCAACAACTATTAGTTAATTCATAACATCAAATGAAAATTCTTTTCATTAAAAGAAATTCAAAATATATTGATATGTTCACACTTGTTGCTATATTCTAATTACATTATTGAAACGTTCTCTTATAGTAAACTAGTAACAAATTACTATTTATTAAATTTAGAATATTTAAGTATTTGGTGATCAGGTGACAAGTTTTTTAATGTTTAGTACATTTATATTATTTTATTTTATAGTTAAAAATATACTATATGTGCATTATAATTGATAATTTTACTATGCTATCTTAATACTATAAATTTATAATAGATCAGCTGTTGAATATCATATTTGTTGAGTATTTTTAAAATGGTACCCAATTCCTAATTCCATAATTCAGTTGATACGTGATTCTTTTAAATAAAAACGTGAAATTGTTACATAGGTTCTAAATCTCATATAGATAATATCATGTAAATCATAAGTCACCAGTTGTATCCATTATGTGTCTCATATATTTATGACTTCAATTAATTCTTTTCGTTATGTAATATGCTTGTATGCACTAATTTTAGTTTGTTTTTTATTAATGGAATAGAATTTGATTGATTTTCAAACGAATGTTACGAACAACTGAAATATTTCAAACAAGGAATATTATTAAAATTATACTTTGGATATCCATCTCCGTTTACTATCCATAAATCTCAAAGATGATTGTATTAATGTTAAATGACAAGATTTAAGAATAGTGGTAAATTAAATGTAAAAAATTATTTAATTTACATTTTTATGTAATAAGGAATTATGTTAAATTTTGCTCCCAACATAGAAAATAAGTACCATATTTGAAAATTTCCGATACGCTTAAAAAATTACCATCACCATTGGTTAATTAATTGTATGACATACAGTACAATATTTCACACGTTTAGCGGATCTACTACGAAATCCCCAAAACAGAATATAATTACAATTGTTAAGATCTACAGACAGGAGACTCTTTTACGTAATGATAAATTTAACAATAAAAAAATTGTTATTAGTAAGAAACTTTTGTTATTAAATGCGTGTTGTATACAAAAGTTAATTTTAACTTAAACAAACTATCATTTTAACTTTATTACACTGGCTAAAACTAAAATGTTAAATGTTAAAACAATTTTAACATTTGGTTTCAAAGAAAAACACTCCATGTGGTTCACATACCATATTAACCGCTTCCTCTCCTCTTTTACTCACTCTTTACTGTGAAACGTACCCGCGGTTGATGGTTAAAAAAAGGGAGAAATTTAAGTTGCCATTACTAAATGTCGGGATAATGAATTTCAGGAATATTAAAATTTAGGAATTGTTAATTTTTTAGGATTATGAATGTCGTGATTGTATCTGATTGGGATCTATTAATTTTCAGGATTTTGAGCGACCCCATACAGTATTTAGCGATTTAGCATCTATACATATATTAGATTAGTTTATATTACAGTATTGATAGTTATTTATGTTCAAATTGTGTTATGTAAATTTAGAGGTTAGAACCGATCAACGTTTAATTGATTAATTAGCATAGGTATCTCAAAAATCGGAAAATTATCAATCATAATTTTGGTCAGATTATTTGGTGCGGCCCAGCCGCCCAGGTAGGATTTCGTCAAATTCAACCGAATTTTTTATGAATGTTTTAATGATAAGAAATATTACTTCCTTACCACTAAATATATAGTAAAAACAAATTGATATAATTAATTTGTATCCAAAAAAATCTATATCTTTAATATTAGTAATCGATGGTTAATCGGTTAAGGCCCTCAGCTAATCGGTTTTTAATCGATTAAAGTTTTTTGTCAGCTCCAACTTCTAATTTCTTTAAAAATGGAATTTGGAATTTAGTGTTTGATATTTATCTGTCATCTCCATTAGTGTAAATAAATCTTCAATTTATTTTTGCCAATAGTTAACATCACACCTAATATTATAAACTAACGAAATCTTTATTATTTCTGATGTTCATTTCATCAAGAATTGGAAAACTATAAATGTTTATTGTGATTGTGAACAATATTAAAAGTCAAGTGATGTACAATACACATAAATAATCGATTAAATTTGTAGATTAAAATTATTTATTCATATAAGATTGGTGAAAATTTATGTTGCATTCGTGTGATGCGGATAGTTTGGAGCATTTGCCAATGTTACCTGTTATATATTTTAAATTACAAAATTTATAAAATATCTTATAGCACTTTATCAGTTATAGTTTCTAATCAGTTATGATAAGATACCGCAACAAATTTTGCTTTTTGCAAAAATAATTAGCTGGTAGAATTTTCAAGATACGAAACATTCTTTTAATAAATATTTCAAGCAGCTACATGTGTAACTTAAGGTAAAAATAATTTAGTATTCACGATCTGAAGATTCATTTATATTATATAACAAATATATATATATATTTAAGCTTTAATTTAATAAGAGATTTTTGGCAACTTCCTGATCATCTGGCATGCATTAGAGTAATACAGCGGTACAGCGGATGTGTATATACGGAGCACATCATTTTTGAGAGTTGTGACACGCTCACAAATATGGTGGTTCCGCATAGCGCTGCATACAGTACTCCGGGTCTTTATCCAAGTTAGCTTGAATAATTTCCGGAAAGAACTATATGAAGAGTGGGTACTATACAGGGAATAACTTTGACCAAATATCAAATTTTGGCCAAAATTGTCACAAAATACTTTTCAGGAATTGTGGATGATATATTAATACCCGGTACTATATAAGGGCACTATTCTGTAGTGCCATACGACCCATACGTACAGTATGTAATATATCTGAGCACTACTGTGCATGTAACAATAATACTAACACCTCCGCTGTACTCGCAACTCTATTGGTGTAATCTCTAAATAAAGAGTAAAAAATAAATATAAATAAAGATTTCAGTACATTTCTTCGTACAGTACATGTACATTTTTCATGTACTTTTTTTTAAAAAAAAAGAAAAAAAAAATATTGCAAAAAATATTATAGTAAAATGATTATCAATAACCTCAATCAAATACTTTTATTGATAATTTTGTTAATTGAAATTGGTCAATCATTAGCCCCAGTTGAACGTAGTGCACATAGCTCAGTTCTTGTAGATAAAAAATTATTTTTTTTTGGAGGGCATTCGGATCATAGTCTTAAAAAATCAGTCATATTGGATCAAATAATATACCTTGACGTATCCAAACCATTTAATACAGCAAATCCACCATTTGAAGAAATATCAAAAACAATTCCTTTTGGAAGTTCATTTGCAACAGCATTTCTTAGTCCTCAAAAAAATATAATTTATTTGTTTGGAGGAATTGTGAAGGATGTAAATACTGATCTAGATAGTTTTAAATCAGTTTTATATTCATATAATTTAGAAACTAATGAATGGATCATACCAATAACTAATGGAATCGCACCTGGAAGGAGAAGAGAAATAATGGTGTTATTAACAATAAAACTGGAAAATTTTATGTTTTTGGTGGAGCAATTGATCCAGAAACTGGATCACAGAACATTATAATACTGAATGATATGAATATATTTGACACTATTTCTTTAACCTGGTCAAAAGGTTCTTCGATATATGCTCCACTTCCTCGTGTAGACTTTACTACTACTTTGTTATCTAATGGAATTATTGTTTTCATTGGTGGAAGAGAAACTAATAATCTTGTTGATGTTGACATAAATCAGGTAAATAAGATAAATATAACAGCTTGTATTATTTACTAACAGGTAATAGTTAATTAATTCATAGTAAATTTCAAATTAGCTTGTTCTTTATGATACGACAATTGACAAATGGTCATCAATGGTAAGCTCTCAATATTTTATTTAATGAAAATTTATTCATTTATCTCTTCAGATCTAACAACTCTTCTTTTTTAGATGGCACGAGGTGTTATTTTGGAAAATCGTAATGCACATTCTGCAGTTCTAAGTAAATAATATATTCACTGGTATAAATTTATATATATGATATCAACTAACTAATAAGCTTCTTTTTTTACTTATTTTTTAATAGCACCAGATGAAAGAATAATTATTTTTGGTGGGTGTAAGGGTTATAATGAAACAATTTTAAATCAACTTGCTGTACTAAATACAAAAACATACCCATATGAATGGTCAATTCCACAAGTTTCCGCTTTAAATTCTGCACCACCATTAATTTATTTCCACTCTGCTACATTAATTGAAAATTATATGTTTATAAATTTTGGTAAGTTAATTAGCAGTTAATACAATTTATATTCAACTTTTTAAGATGTAAATTGAGTATTTATTTATTTTCTAGGACAAAACTATGAATTAAAAAATCCCGAATTACAGAAACCATTTTTTTATATTCTTGACATAAGAAATTTTACATGGGTAACCCAATTCGAACCTGAACAACCTGAACAATTACCAGTTACTACTAATTCTGTAACACCAATTGCTACTGCGACTATAACAAATACTTCGTTAACGAATTTAACTGCAGAAAAATCTGGACAAATTGGTATTATTCTTGGAGCTGTTGGTCTTAGTGTTGTTATTATTACTGTTGCTGGATTCTTAGGTTATAAATTTTATAAAAAGCAAAAATATAATCGTGCTATACCTACTGCTGGAGAAATTCAATCTTAAAACATACATTACTTCTATTATTTTATATAAATTTTAATTGGTTTATTACTTTATAATTTAAGATTTATTTTTAAGATATTCTATTCATCTTGTGAGAAAACGAGAAATTGTTTATATTAAATTCCATCTGGACGAAATTTAAAATAATATAAAATAATATTTAATATTTCGGGTGCGTGCCATAAGAAGGAACGTTTTTAAAGTTATGGACTTTATATTTTAAAACAAAAAATTAAAAAAAAAAATTTTTATACAGTATCAAATTTAAGAAAATAGCAGAACCTTTGTCTATATATATCTTAAAGACAATATTATTTCTTGTTATATATCTCTTAATTTTTTAGTTATTCTCGTGTTATAAATAAATCATCTTCAAACTGTTTGAATGTTCAGTTAAGGAGAAGATTATATAGTATATGAAAATTGAGGCTCTACGTAGCTCTACATGATTGTGTTCTACGTACCTAAAAGTCTACTTTACTAACTTAAATAATGTAATAACTTTAAATTGCTCGTATAAATTCCTAAAATTTGCGACTAATAAGTTGTTTTAATAACACTAGGTGAAAGATTAATTATTTGGTGGGATTGATGATGGACCAGTTCTAACTTCTAAATCAACTTACTGTATCAGATACAAAAAAAATACCACAACCACATAAATGGTCAATTTCACAAGTTTCTGCTTTAAAATACTGCACCACCGACGATTGATTATTTTACATTCTGCATTAATTGAAAATTATGTTTATAATTTTAGTATAGTAAATTAATTATTATAATATTATCCTACGATTCTTTTCTTGATATTCTCACGGGTGATGTTTGTTTAAAAAGATGGATAAAAAGTCTATCAATATTGGATAAAAATCTAATATTAATAGAATAAAGTCTATTCATTATTAGTTTAAAAAGGTATATTGAAAGTTCTATGTGGAACCGTGATATAAATGTTATTTCACGATGTCACTGTGATCATGATTTTCCCGTTCCCCAAATTGGTATTATTCTCGAAGCTGTCGATTTTAGTGTTGTTATTAGGACTATTTCCGGGTTTATTCATAATATTCTTCTGTCTTTAATAGTAATGCTGACTTAACTATTGATAGATTTTAACAGAATTATAATTAAAGCAACTGAAAAAGGAACGTTGTTGAAACTGTTTTAACTTCTTGTTAAATCAACTAAGATCTACATATAGAATACTGATAAATTTAACAATAGAAAATTTTCATATAAAAATTTCTACATTTTGTCATTATTCTATAATGGCTAGAATGTATTGTTATCATTTATCAAACGCGTATTGAAGCGTACACTCCATTCTGAATTCTTGTCTGTCCGCACGCGGTTAAATACCAATCATATTCTAGTATATCGTGTGTCAATAAATAGGTTATGTAATTTTGTTTAAACGCTTCGGACGCTCCAATAGTCCCTGTTATTAACCGATTAAAGACGCAGAAATCGGAAAATTATCTAAATCATAATTCGGTCTGCCCGGGGTGTATGATTTCGGTCATGTGCTCTCAGAATTAAAACTTTAATAACCGAACTTTGTATGAATGTTTTAATGACAAGATTAATTAATATGACTTCCTTACCACTAAATATATGAGTAAAAACAAATTGATATAATTTGCATCCAAAAAAATTCTATGTTTTTTTAATCGATGATTAATCGGTGAAGGCCCTCGGCTAATCGTTTTTTAATCTGAAAATTTATGTTGTATTCGCGTGGTGCAGATAGTAGTTATGAATGCATTTGCAATGCTATCTATCTGTTTTATTTTTTAAGTACAATTATAGTACTTTATAGTTTCTAATCAATTCAGTTATGATAAGATACCGCAACACTCAAAAAATTTATAAGATACGATTAATCAAGCTGTTACATGTGTAACTTTATATATTTATAAGCTTTAATTTAAATGATTCACGCTTTTTGGCAAATTTTTGATCACCTGGCATGCATTAGTGAGTACTACGGCGGGTGTGTATACGTATACGGAGCACATAAATAGTAGTACCGTATAGCGCTGCATACAATACTCCGGATCTTATCCAAGTTAGCTTGAATAGTACCCGGGAAGAACTATGTGAAGTGGGTACTATCATACAGGGAATAACTTTGACCAAATATCAAATTTTGGCCAAATTGGCACAAAATACTTTTCAGGTCTTTTATATTGTTTCTTCTGCAGGAAACTGTGAATGATACATTATTAATATCTCGGCACTATACACTAAGGGTACTATTCTGTAGCGCCATACGCCCATACGTACTGTATGTAGTATTATATTTGAGTACTACTGTGCATGTAACAATAATACTAGACACCTCCGTTGTACAACTCCACTGGTGTAATCTCTAAATAGAGAATAAAAAAAAATAAATATAAATGAATTTCAGTACATTTCTTCGTACGGTACATGTACATTTTTTTGTACTTTTTTTTTAAGAAAAAGAAAATATTACAAAAAAATATTATAATAAAATGATTATTAATAACCTCATGAAAATACTTCTATTGATAACTTTGTTAATTGAAATTGGTCAATCATTAGTTCCAGTTGAACGTTATGCACACAGCTCAGTTCTTGTAGATAAAAAATTATTTTTTTTTGGAGGGTATTCGGGTCATAGTCTTAAAACATCAGAAAATTTGGATCAAATAATATATCTTGACATATCCAAACCATTTAATATGGCAAATCCACCATTTGAAGAAATATCAAAAACTATTCCATTTGGAAGTTCATATGCAACAGCATTCCTTAGTCCTCAAAAAAACATAATTTATTTATTTGGAGGAATTGTGAAGGATGTAAATACTGATCTAGATATTTTTAAATCAGTTTTATATTCATATAATTTAGAAACTAATGAGTGGACCATACCAATAACAAATGGAATCGCACCTGGAAGGAGAAGAGATATGAATGGTGTTATTAACAATAAAACTGGAAAATTTTATGTTTTTGGTGGAGCAATTGATCCAGAAACTGGATCACAGAGTACTATAGCACTGAATGATATGAATATATTTGACACTATTTCTTTAACCTGGTCAAAAGGTTCTTCAATATATGCTCCGCTTCCTCGTATGGACTTTACTACTACTTTGTTATCTAATGGAATTATTGTTTTCATTGGTGGAAGAGAAACTAATAATCTTGTTGACGTTGACATAAATCAGGTAAATAAATTAAATATTCATACTTCATTATATGGGAATTAATTAATTTACAGTAAATTTCAAATTAGCTTGTCCTTTATGATACGACAAATGACAAATGGTCATCAATGGTAAGCTCAATATTTATTTTAATGAAAATTTTATTCATTTATCTCTAACAACTCTTCTTTTTTAGACGGCACGAGGTGTTATTTTGGAGAATCGTAATGCACATTCTGCAGTTCTAAGTAAATATTATATTCACTAGTACAAATTTATATATAGGATAACAACTACTAACTAGTAATAAGCTTCTTTTTTTTACTTATTGTTTTAATAGCACCAGATGAAAGAATAATTGTTTTTGGTGGGTGTAAAGGTATGAATGAAACAATTTTAAATCAACTTGCTATACTAAATACAAAAACATATCCATATGAATGGTCAATTCCGCAAGTTTCCGCTTTAAATTCTTCACCACCTGAATCAATTCAATTACACTCCGCCACATTAATTGAAAATTATATGTTTATAAATTTTGGTAAGTTAATTACAGTTAATACAATTTATATTCAACTTTTTAAGATGTAAATTGAGTATTTATTTATTTTCTAGGACAAAACTATCAAATTCAAAATTCTGAATTACAGAAACCATTTTTTTATATTCTTAACATAAGAGATTTTACATGGGTAACTCAATTCGAACCTAAGCAATCACCAGTTACTACTAATTCTGTAACACCAATTACTACTGTGCCTATATCGTCAACTAGTATTTCACCAAATTTAACTGCGGAAAAATCTGGACAAATCGGCATTATTCTTGGAGCTGTTGGTCTTAGTGTTGTTATTATTACTGTTGCTGGATTTTTAGGTTATAAATTTTATAAAAAACAAAAATACAATCGTGCTATACCTACATCTGGGCAAATCCAAACTTAAGACATTATTGACTGACTTCTATGATTTTATAATTTATGGTTTTGCTTATTTTTGAAATATTTTATTCATTTTATAAGAAAACAAGCAATTATTTATATTAATGATTTATTATTTAATCAAACTCATCTAGACGAAATTTAAAATAATATATAATATTTCGGGTACTATAATAAGAAGGAACGTTTTCAAAGTACTTTTCTTTATATTTTTTTAAAAAAATCAAAAAAATAATGATCAATTAATTTTTAAACAGTATCAAATTAAAGAATGAAAACGAATTTGGATAGAAATAGCTTAAGAACCTTTGATATTTACATCTCAAAGATAATATCACTTCTTGTTATTGAATATTGTATATCTAATAATTTTAAATTATTCTCGTATTATAAAATGAACCATCTTCAAACTGTTTGAATGCTCAATTAAGGAGAAGATTAATATAGTATAAGAGACTTTTAGGAATTTTAAATTGCTTGTACAAATTCCTTAAATATTTGACTTTGCATCAATGTAGTTTCTTTTAATAATGAGTTCGAAGTAAATATACAAATTACAACTAATAAGTTGTTTTAATAGCACTAGATGAAAGATCAATTATTTTTTGTGGGATTAATAAACCAGTTCTAAATCAACTTACTGTATCAGATACAAACAAAATACCACATAGATGGCCAATTCCACAAGTTTCTGCTTTAAGATGCTGCACTACCGACAATTGATGTACCGTTGGCCACTGCATACAGTACCCCAAAAATAGTACCCCCATGATTAAGACCCGAGTGTTATTCATATTCACCACTCATGGTGATCTGATCGCAGGTAGTACCCGGTACTTTTCAAAGTCGAATTTTGTGAAAATTGATTAATACTGTACTCAGGTACTAAAGATCCGGTTCCTCACAAAGTACTCACGTGTACTATTCAATTATAAAAATCAACTGAAGGTTCCTGATGAATAAGAACCCATGCAGTGGCCTTAATCGAAAATTATATGTTTATAATTAATTATCGTCTACCATTATAAGAAGTAAATTGTAAATAATTTTCTAAAGTGTATTAAGTATTAACACCAAATTCTCAGATGCAGATTCCCTTTTTTCAATATATTTGACATAAAAAAATTACATTGTAACAAACATCTAATACATAACACCAACTAATTCATCAAATTGGTATACGTATTATTCTTGATTTTAGTGTTGTTATTAGAACTATTTCCGAGTTTATTCAAGATATTATCATTTTAACTTTTTTTTGTCTTTAAATTTGGAAAAGAATGAAACTTTCATAGTGCTCTTCTTTTGGTTATAAACTTTAATTACATTAAATTTATTCCGATTTAAATTCTAGAATTCCATGAAAGATACGCCATCACGGCTTACAAATCCACATTCTTTAATTTTGATATAATTTAAAATTAATTGATTAAAATATAAAGTACCGTAAACTCGAAGTCCATAATCTTAGATAAAAGTTAATTCTCTTTAAATTATAAATACTGTCATTATACGGTTACGGCACGATTTCCCGACGGGTGATTTCCACTTGCACGACAAGTTTGGCCAGAGTTATGCAGAGTTATGCCCGAACACGTGATCAAACGACCAGCGTTAGGCTGTCAGGACGGTCCGTAAGCGCATTAAATAAAAATCAATTTTTTTTTTATTTATATCACGTTGACCTGGATTGATTCGGCAGGATCTACCGATCATCTCAGAATACCTATAAAATCAAAGACGTCTCAACCGTCTCATGCAAACAACCCATTTTATAAAAGCAAATCCTATAATCGGACTTTAAAATATTACACACGTTTAAATTTTACTTACAATCTCAACTATAGAACTATGGATAACAATAAATTTTTTACCTATCGGAACGACTTTATTGTTCTTCCCGCTCCTTCTCTTCCTTCTCACTCATAATTTCCAACAAATGACCAAATAAACTACTTTTTTATTTCCGCTCGTAGTTTTCTATCTCCTTTTTTCTTTTAAAAAGTTTTATATTTTATGTTTTTAACTTTTTTTATATATTATTTTTTGTTTCGTTGGGTTAATATCCTTCTGTTTCTCTCGCATACACACCCTCTCCCTTCCCTTGGGCTGGCTAGAAATTTTTTTGGTGTTGTATAGTGCTATGTGAGAGTTGCGTTTACTTTTAGTATCATATCTGATATAATTTACATGGTTTGATAAAGGTGGAGGTAAGAGACCTGTTCCTTACTAATAAGTGACAACACACCATCATTTCAGGACACCGAATCATTATAATTTAATGGCATTAAATTATAATGAAGGTTGGCCGTTAAATCCCCTCATACGCGTACTTATGGAGGAGGTATCATGTTGTATCCTATTAGCGGACCCTAAAGGGGTAACGTTAAATTCCTTAATTCCTATTTGTTTTCTTGACAAATAAACTATTAATTGATCAATAATTACGGTGACCCGTGTTACGGCGATTTGAATTTGTTGCTGTATATAAAAAATAAAATAAATAAATAAATATTTATTTATTATTGGATGGTTAAATACGTAAGTTAATAGCTGATAGTATTATTATTTAACGGGCCGTTCATGTAATTTTCATAGTCACTTTTGACGAAAAATATCGACAACTTTGCTGCTTAAAACAGTTTAGTTGATATATCATGTCTATAATAAGTATTATTTCGTTCTTTAAGATGGTGCCGGTGTACTCCATGGCTAATCCAGCAGACGAGTTCTGAGAAGGTTTTAACGAGTTTAAAACCGATGGGTAGTGGCGAGACCACGTGGTCACGGAAACACTGAGCTGAAACGCGTTTTCGGACGAGGAAGTTCCTTAATCTAAACTTGAGGGCCGAGTACAGTTGAGGGAGGGACGAGTTCCCGTGGATTATTGTGGACTTCCTTCCACCAATGGTACATTTTCATGTTCTAATAAATAAACGGCTTTTCTTTACTTCTTCCCTTGACTATACAAACATGATTTTTATCTAATAAGTAATAACTGACAAATCGGAATCCTTAAATAACTACAACAAATATTTATTTTTTACAAGAGGTAAATGAATTGGATTTTTGTTTGAATCGGAAGTACGTTAAATGAAAAATTTTAATTTGTACCTCACGATTGATTTTTTTTTAAAGCAAGCTCCGAAAATTTTTGACCATCAAAATTTAAAAAAAGTTATGGACACAGATATAGGTATTTATATTATATTTCTCATCTCTTATAGGTTTTCTCTCTATTTATTATAATCAAGTCATTTGAATCCAATGAAAAATATAACAAAATCAATGTTTATCTAAGATAAAACGGTCTTTAACTCTTCAGAAATATTGTGCAAAGTCGATATAAGGGAGAGTGGCCAATGTTGCGGATTTTGCACGGCAGGCAAACAAATTTGGTTTGCTTCCACCAAATTATGAATGCGGAATTTTATGTTGAAATCATGGGCCGATTTCAACAACCTAAACATGCTAGCCAGTTATTAGCCGCATTGCCGAAGAATTTCTTAACGTAATTTTGGATTTGGTGAGTTCAATGAACTAATGAAGCAACGCTGTGAACTCATTATTGAAAATAACGGAGAGCGAATATCCTATTATTATGTGATTCTATTTGTGATTATTTTTCAATATTATAATAAGTTTAAATTTAATGTTCCATGAGAATTAAATATTATTGACTGATCTCCCGAAATTCATTATCCTGTAAAATGGTCCTTATATATCTGAGTTGTTATGAAGGAGTAGATCGCGTAGTAATGAATACTCTAGTAAATACTAATAATCAAAAATATTTCCACTTGAATATAAACTTAACTTTTTTTTTGTTATGGTATCTAAAATCTTGAATTTTGAATTTTTAATTCATAAATGATTTACTGTAATTCGATTACACGTAGAATAATTTGGAAATACTGTAATAATTAAATTGACAAAGAATGTTTTTTTTGAATTGAGTTATTCACCATTATTGATTAGACTTGAGGTATAAAAAATGTCTTTGAGAAATATTTATGTGATTTACTTTATTAAAAAAATTGGCTGACATAATACTATCGTAAATACTGCGTCATACGAATGCTAATCTATATTCAGACTATGCGTAAAATTTAAACAATTTGTATAATAATCATCCTATTTATATATTGATAATAAATCTTCAACTTGACAATTTTTTGAAGTAAAAATCATCAAAATAATATATCTTGTACAATATCATCTAAAGTTATATCCTTCGTGAACTGAATAAAAAATTTATTATACTATGTAGCTAAATATGATATCACTATTGACGAAAAAAATCTAATAAATCGAATTCTTCTTGAATCCCAAATTAGTTGTTACTTGACTAGAAAACGGTAACCGTTAAAGAGTTTGAAACGTAAAATTCAAAATTAAGCTAGTAAATATATATATATATAGTATATATATTTATACATGAATGACAAGTATATATATTATTATAATTAAATAATGTTATGATAAAATCAAGGAGAAAATTAGTCAATGAATATATATTTTATTTACAAAGTATTAATCGAAGAGTTGATAAAACGTTAAATCAAGGACGCGTACAAATTTACTATTAAAATCGTTTGATTGGTAATGAGACGCGTGCAGACAAGCACTTGCATAATATTGCATATCTTTAGCTACGCTTCGAACAATTATCGGAATAAACTATTAATACTTTTGTAGCTTTACGATAAATGTTAATTTATTTCCTCTTCCAATTGAATTGAATAAATTATATTTTTTTGAGAAATGGAATTGAATATACTCAGTTTCTCAGATAGTAGATTTGCTATACCGTATCACACTGCTTAAAATACTCCAGTAACCCCATGTAAAGTCCCATGTAAAATATTTATCGTTAAATGGAATCAGCATGTTTATAAACCAAATTAAAATCTTCATATAATAAATCCCAATACTTTACATATGGGCGGTAGTATATAATTTTAAACTAGGTATTTATAATATACCTGTGTTAATTTAAGTAATGCAGTACGACATTAATCGTGAATGATATTTGACACGTGGCATTTTTGTTGAGTATTTACTTAAAATAGTGATGTTAAATTTTGGACGGTCTCCATATATAGTAGTATGTACATAGATCTAGACATTCTGAAAAGGGATGAAGATATAGTAATTTTATTTAATATAAATCTTACTTTAAATTTCTGTTGTCCTAACTAAAATCAATCCCTTAGATAATTAATTAATTTCTATAAACACATTTTTTTTTTATTATAAAATTAATCAAAATCCTTTGATATTATAAATAACTATTCATGTAAAATTTATAGGTCAATTAGTATTTTTAGTTTTGAATTTCCCCAGCCGTGGGTTCTATGGCACGTTTACTATTATTTTGAAGAATCGAAACATTCAGAATATGAAGAAGGGTGTATAAAATCTTAAAATATTTGTTTTATAATTTTTGGTTAAATAGTTGGACTCCCAGCAGTAGGTATAGCATGCTTATATTTTTGTTTTTTATAATATTTATAACCTAAAAATCCAACAACAATGCCAATACCAATACTGAGACCGACAGTTCCAAGAATAATACCAATTTGTTTACCATTATCAGATTTTTCCACAGGTAAATCAGGTGAGTTACTAGTTGAGTTAGATGGTGATTTATTTACACTGGTAGTATCAATTGTTGATTTTTCAGGTTCGAATTGTATTATCCATGTAAAATTTCTTATGTCAAGAATATAAAAAAATGGTAACTGTATTTGAGGATTAGTAATTGGAGTTATTTGACCTAGTACATAAATTATACAGTAAATGATTATTCAATATACTTAAATGACTGAATATAAATTATATTAATAAACTTACCAAAATTTATAAACATATAATTTCCAACTAATGTAGCCGAATGTGCAGAAGTTGTTAAAGGCATATTATCTATGGCGGGAACTTGTGGAATTGACCATTCATAAGGTGTCATCTTTGTATTTAATACAGCAAGTTGATTTAAAACTGGATCATCGTTAGGAACTTTACGTCCACCAAAAATAATTATTCTTTCATCTGGTGCTATTAAAACAAGGGAAAAAAATGGATCTTACTAATTGTTATTTTTAAATTTGTATAAACTATAATATTTACTTAGAACTGCGGAATGTAAAAAACGATTTTCCATAGTAACACCTCGTGCCGTCTAAAAAGAAAATTTATAAATCTAAAGAATAATTTTCATTAAATAAAATATTTAGTTTTACCATTAATGACCACTTGTCAACTTTCGTATCATAAAGGGCAAGCTAAATTGAAATTTACTGTGAATTAATCAATTCTTAGATAATATAGTTTTAGAAATATGTAATATTTAACTTATTTACCTGATTTATGTCAACATCACGAAAAGCATTAGTTTCTCTTCCACCAATAAAAACAATAATTCCATTAGATAACAAAGTAGCAGTATAGTCCGCACGAGGAAGTGGAGCATTTATTGTAGAGCCTTTTGACCAAGCTAAAGTATTAATATCAAATATATTCATATCATTCAATGCTATGGTATTATTAGGAGTTCCAGTAAATTGATCACTAAGTCCACCAAAAGCATAAAATTTTCCAGTGTTATTGTTAATAACACCACTAATTTCTCTTCTTCTTCCAGGTGCAATTCCACTTGTTGTCGGTATGGTCCATTGATTAGTTTCTAAATTATATGAATGTAAAATTGATTTAAAATCATCTAAATCAGTATTTACATTCACTGTAATTCCTCCAAATAAATAAATTACATTTTTTTGAGAACTAGGGAATGCTATTGCATATGAACTTCCAAATGGAATTGTATTTGGTAATTCTTCAAATGGTGGATTCACTGTATTAAATGGTTTTGATACATCGAGATATAATATTTGATCTAATGTTGTTGACGGTTTTAGATTATGAACTGTTTCTCCTCCAAAAAAAAATAATTTTTTATCTATAAGAATTGAACTTGTCGAATAACGGTCAAGCGGAATTAATGATTGTCCAATTTCTATTGATAAAATTACCAATAAAAAAAATATTTTTATAAGATTATTAATATTCATTCTTAACATAATACTTTTTTTGTAATATTTTCTTTCTTTTTTTTTTTGAGAAATAAAAATAATAGAATAATGAGAAATCATTAATTATTATTAATAATTTTATTTTAAAAGAGACTTTATTTAAAAAGACTTTGAATCAAACATTTTTTTAATTTTTTGAGAAAAAAAAAAAAATACGTATTCAGTTTGACTAGCTATGTAAATACGATTTATTATGAAACGGGTAGGAGCATACTGAGTAAACAAACAATGCAATTCCTTTCCTTTTATTCACTGCATACTACATTGATGCGGAAAGGCATCTCCGGTGTTATTAATATCTCGTGACTTGCAATATGGGTGTCACATTTGTGAAATTTATAAAAAAGGGGACAACTTGCACAACAATTCGTTTCACTTACACGATATTGTCAACACAAAAATAGTACAACATACTTATTATTACTTAATAATTTTTAGCAATTGTTTTTTATTTGATTAAACCTTTTAAAGTATGAAGGATGTTCCATAATTTTAGTATTTTTTTTATTAGATTAAAAATAGAGTCACGGACGACGCTGTATTGTTGTATTTGTAATAATACAACCGCAACTCTAGATTTAAACACTATTAACATATATTTACTAACTGCTCCGTAACTTCCTGTAGCCGTGGTGAGGCACCGTTGCTTTGAATTTTAATTATAATTTTAATCGTGATATATCTATATATCTCCTGTGGTAACTTTTATTTTATTTATATTTTTTGGTTTACGTAACATTGAAAATATTATTTTGCGTGGCCTAGTCTTTTAATGAATTGTATTTGTATTATTCTTTTCTTTTCTTTAAAATACTCTATTTTTCTTTTTGACAAATCAATATCATAATTTATTATTAATAACTAAAAATATTTTATTCATTTACAGAAATCAATTATTTAATAAAGTATTGTCGTTAGACAGCAATAATGATTTTGTATTTGATTAATAAAAGAACATATTAACGTAAGTGTTCTGTATGGTACAGTAAACGCAATGTATTAGTTAGTATCCGGGTTTCAATTTGTCATTCTGAAAAATGCCGATCATTCGTCGATCATATAATAAATGTCACTATAATACGGTTAAAGCCATAAAATGCTCGGGTATACTAAATGTTTTTTTGGCAGTATAATTTATGAAAAATATATTACAAAAGTTTTACGGCAAAAAAAATTACATTGTCAAAGTTAACTTAAACCGAAATTTTCAATAATTAGATATTTGCCGATCATCTGCTAATTTGACTTTTGAAGCTTCGGGCGAAGCCACAGATTTACGGGCGAAACTTAAAATTTTCAAAATATATTATTTAGGTATTCAAGAGTCAATGACCAAAATAATCATGTAGGTAATCAAAAAGTTATCATTGAGCAAATGTTTATGAATATTATTAAAATACATATATAGACAATTTATGAACTGTTTAAAGAATACTTTTTGATAAAATTTAATATGCCGTAAATTTAAATAAGCTGTCTGTAAAATTATTATTATGTAGGATTTTCAACCGAAGTAATTATAGCGAAGTGATAAAATTGAATAAATGATCGACAAATGATCGACAAAATTGTAATAAGATGTCGGGGTCTGGCCCATTTTCACCGACAATCATTTCATCTCATTTCACCGACAGTTTTTAAATCCTAATCCCCTAACTTACCAGCATAGCGAACATGCTTTATATCACTTTGACGATCATTTGCCGATCACAAGTTTCATTTTATTAAAAAATGATTAAATTATGAAAAAGTGCAAGGCAAAGTAAATGCCTAAATAGGAAAAAAATAAAATATGCCACCTTTTATTGTTGTATAACTTTAAATTAAATAATTTATATAATTTTTAATTTTTATATGCAAAATTATTAATATGTGATAATTTGAAGTTTCGGGATAAAAATTGAAGGCCGAAGCCGAATACGCAAAGCCGAAACTTGAAATTTTGCATGAACATTCCTTTTATTATATATAATCTGTAAAAAAAATAATGCAAGGTTTCGACCCATAATGCAGGTTTTTTGCTTATAGAGAAATTAGCCAATTATTTGTTATTAATATATTTCTAATAAAAAAGATTATTTACATCATTAAAGATAATGAAAAACTTTTAGTTGAAGATGAAGATGATAATAGTTTAAGTGAAGATAATAATGATGAGAATATTGAAAATAATTTAGAAATAATAGTAAGTAATATAGATAATCTGTTTGAAATATTATACTAAACATGGGTTAAATTATTAATATAATTATTAGTATTTGTATTAATTTTTATGTTTTATATAAATTTTTAATAAAATTAAAATTCTGTGAAGTTATTTGTAAATTTTAAACACTTATTATATTTATTATTGTGTAAAATTGATCTGTCACGACATATGTATTATGTGATAAGATCAAATAAATGATTGGCAAATGATCGGCAAATTTGTGATAAAATAGAGATGTTCGCTATGCTTAACTTACCTAACCCTAATTCCTAATCCTTTCCTTAATTTCTTACCTAACCCTAACCCTGTCGGTGAAACGTCTGTCATCGGTGAGGTAATTGTCAGTGAAATTTATACGTTATCGAGAGGTGAACTGATTTCTTTTATTGTTAATGGAGAATACTAATGAAAATGGCCTAAGATTTTTGTCATTTATACTGTATTTTAAGGTGATATAGGTAAATTAAAGGAAAACATTTTAGATTTTCTCTTATTATAGAATAAATTTTTTTAACTAGTATTTGTACACTAATATACAGAACTTTAATTTATAATTATATAGCAGAATAAGCCGGCAAAGAGGGTATCATTATAAATCTACTTAATTCAAGAGCAAAAATATTACAATAACATGAACTGGAAAAACATGGCGATTTAATTTCATTACATTTTTTAGTCATTTCTTTTAATTCTTTAAATAAATATATTCTTAGACACGTAAAAAAATGTTTTAAAATCGCAAAATAAGCACTTTAATAATAACATGTAATGTGGGCATGTGGCGTAACAACACACGGCAATAACCAAGTTATGTAAAAAATTTTGTTTTGATGATCACTGATTCACCGATCAGTCTGATCATCCATGATTTTTTTTATAATACTAACGAAAAAAGTTTAGTATCATACCATCCTCGGGGTCGATCGGGTGATTTTTTTTAAAAAAATTCATTATTTCCTTCATAATCTATATGATAATGTTTTTTTCCTAATTTTTTCGTTCTTTCACCTTTAGGTTTGGATCAGTGATCAGATCGATACTGCGGTGCTACGGTAGGCATCTTTTATTCCTTTTTTTTTAATAATTTTTCTCTTATTATTTTTATTTTTTCAGTTTAAGTTTTGCACCATTTTTGAACTTAACTCCGGCCAAATTCTGACTAAAATTGGCATAATGCGGGCCAGTGTTGCGCTTAATTTCGAATCTGTACAATAATAATGATGGGCGTCCTTAACGTACAGTGAGGGTGTACGATATTAAAGTACAGAATTAACGTTAACGCTATCACGTGCAAGTGCATAACTCTTAAACTCGGGCCAGTTTGTACGTTAATATCGTACACCCTCACTGTACGTTAAGGACGCCCATGTATAGGTATTTACAAATTAAACTTTTAGCTTCATGTAATTGTGCTAGCGAAGCAACTTTTAATTATGCAAACTTTGTATTACGATTTATAATGATTTCTCCTAGTGAGTAAATAATTTTAAAAAAAAATTGAGAACAACTGGAAAATTAAAAATTACAAGATACCTTCCATAAAATATTCGATAACAAAAAGCGATATTAACTTTAATAAAGTATTGCATTTCCATTAGTTATCGCCATTAACATCAACTAAATAAAAATACTTCGCAAAACATCAATTCGCCTGAACAAGAGACATTTGTCCAAAAAAGGAGCATCAGCTCAGTTTTTTTTTGCTATATGGAATGGTGATATATATGAATGAGAGAAGTAAAATCCAGAAATTTTTTGATAAAAAATACTATTTAAACTTGTTTCTTATTTTTAAGGTGGTGAAAAAATACTAGTAATTGGAATTTATATAATTTATATGTAGTTTGATTACTGTAAATTCTAATTTAATCATGGCATATTGAAATATTAATTCGATATGAAACTCAAATTTTAATCACAGGGGAGGTCAGGTTACACAAGATTCGATTTGTCAAACTGCCATAACTTTATCAATACCGATTGATCCATTTTTCATGAACTTATTATAAAAATATTAAAAATATTCTTATTCTTAATAAGATGCATCTAATAAACTATTGATTATTAATTTAAATTACGTTAGTTATTAAAAAGATATTGTTCAAAATAATTTACAAAATTTAAATTTATATTATAAAAAAATAGCAGATTTGATTACCCTATTAAGTTAATCTTAGTACACATAATATTGCATAAGGCGCAATGGGATTTGGGGAAAATTTTTATTTGATTTTACTAGTATACAATAATTTGATTTATACTTTTTTTTAAAACCAAAATACATTAAATGATATGATCTTGTTATTATAGTTTTGGACAACATAGTTAAAAAGAACATCGTATACCAACCAATTTTCATATACAGTATATATAAGTATTATTATAGCGAAAGATATACCACATTTTTGCACACTAGATTAATAAAATATTTGTTTTATAATTTTTGATTAATTAATTGGACTCCCAGAAGTAGGTATAGCACGCTTATATTTTTGTTTTTTATAATATTTATAACCTAAAAGTCCGACAACAGTGCCAACACCAACACTGAGACCGACAGTTCCAAGAATAATACCAATTTGTTTACCATTATCAGATTTTTCCACAGGTAAATCAGGTGAGTTAGTTGAGTTAGTTGGTAATTCTTCAGGTTCGAATTGTGTTACCCATGTAAAATTTCTTATGTCAAGAATATAAAAAAACGGTAGTAACTGTGTTTCAGAATAATTTGTTATGGTACCTAGTAAGTGAATTATGAATAAGTATCCAATTTACCTCTTAAAAAGACTGAACTTAAATTAATTAATTTACCAAAATTTATAAACATATAATTATCAACTAATGTAGCCGAATGTGCAGAAGTTGTTAAAGGCTTATTACCTATGGCAGAAACTTGTGGAATTGACTATTCATATGGTGTCGTCTTTGTATTTAATACAGCAAGTTGATTTAGAACTGGTTCATTAGAGCCCACCAAAAATAATTATTCTTTCATCTGGTGCTATTAAAACAAGAAAAAAAATTAAACTTTATTAACTAATATTTATAAATTTGTATAAAATATAATATTTACTTAGAACTGCGGAATGTGAATTACGATTTTCCAAAGTAACACCTCGTGCAGTCTAAAAAAGAAGAATTAATAATAAATCTAAAGAATAATTCATTAATAAAATATTTTTACCATTAATGACCACTTGTTAACTTTCGTATCATAAAGGGCAAGCTAAGTTTAAAATTTATTGTAAAGTAATTAAATAATTTTAAATATTATATTCTTTACAAAAGTAATAATGTTTATGACTTATTTACCTGATTTATGTCAACATCATTAGTTTCAATTCCACCAATAAAAACAATAATTCCATTAGATAACAAGGTAGCAGTATAACTTAAACGGGGAGATGGGGCATTTATTGTAGAACCTGTTGACCATGTTAAAGAAATAGTATCAAAAACAATCATAATACTAGTATAAAATAAAATTTGATCAGGTGTTCGTTCCAATCCACTAAAAACATAAAATTTTCCAGTTTCTTTATTAATGACACCATTAATTCGTTCTTTTCTTGCTACTTCGTCATTTGTTGTTGGTATAGTCCATTCACGAGTTTCTAAATTATATGAATGTAAAACTTGTTTATAAAACTCTTGACTTGGATTTTTTGTATTCGTATCCACCATAGTTCCTCCAAATAAATAAATTACATTTTTTTGAGGGCTAAGAAATGCTGTTGCAAATGAACTTCCAAATGGAATTGGTACATTTATTATTTCTTCAAATGGTGGATTGACTGTATTAAATGGTTTAGATACATCGAGATATAATATTTGATCCAATGTTGATGAATTTTTTGGACTATGATATGACTCTCCTCCAAAAAAATATATTCTCTTATCTACAAGAACTGAACTTTGTGCATAACGTTCAACCGGAATTAATGATTGTCCAATTTCGGTTGATAAAATTATCAAAAAAATTATTTTTATAAGGTTATTAATATTCATTCTTATCATAATACAGTTTGTAATATTTTTTTTTTGAAAAAAAAAACACCTGTATGCAGAATTGCTCTGAATTTCTGTATATTTATAAATTTTCTCTTTATTTAGAAAATACACCAATAGAGTTATGATCATATTGCTAGTACAACACTATTGTGACATACAAAAGGATCAATTATATTACGATGATCATTTATGTATTTAGAGAGTTTCGTATTTACCATATCTACCATTCTACCGAACTGAATGCAATGCAAGATAATCGTCAGTAATCAGGGTATTTATCTAAACAGGATATTTATGAATTTATTTTTTTTCTTTTATTAATACAGATCCTGAATTTATAATTTTAAAAAAACATATGACACGTGCACTTAAAAGGTACATTTAAAAATTTACACAAGTGATATTAAATTTTGTACACATTAAACCTAAAAAAGCAATGTGCACAATATAAATTAAATGTTTTTACCTTCAGTTACACATAGAATGGTCAGAAGATTTCGTCACAAAAATTTAATGACATAATTGATGACTTTATATATATAGCGAAAGATAACTTAATATATTCGATATTCCATAGGATCATGTATAGTAAAATTTTATAGTTATCCGATAGTATTTTATATGCAATATCGAATATGAAATTTATTTTATTAATAATTATACATGCAATAAAATATATCTATATACATTATCAATTATATAAGCTAATTAATGTGGAAAATTAAAAGTACAGTTATTAAATGTAAAATTACCCTCCTTAAAAACAATAGTTAAATATATAATATATTTGCCTTATTTAATGTAGTTTTATTTTTATTAAGGAGTTGCTGTTTGACTTTCATTATAAATTTGTAAGAAAATAATGATAAGAAAAAAAATGGTAACGAAAGAAAGAAAAAAAGGTGATAAAAATTATACTTTGTTAGACTATTTAGGCTATTGATAAACATGATCATAGAGGCCTCTCGGATATAAAATTTATCCGATGGAAAATAATGTTATTCACTCTTTTCCATCGGATAACTATATAATATTAATAGTTTATCTTGAGGTATCCGGTTCGTGAGGTAAGCCGGTAAGGTATTCAGTTCGACTCTTAGTGTAAGTAAAAAAATAATAAAATGCATTCAGTTTTACTATTAAGAAAACTACGTCATTTTTAAAAATACACTATTTTATACTATTGAAAATTCCTCTAAATTTTTTACACTCGTATATCGTTGCGTAGTTTTTTCACACGTGTATTATTTTGTAGATCTACGCTTAATTTATTCTCCTGATGTTATACAATGGAAATGAAAAGAATATTCTTCTATTATTTTGTATAATATTTGTTTATAATTTTTGATTAATTAATTGGACTCCCAGCAGTAGGTATAGTATGCTTATATTTTTGTTTTTTATAATATTTATAACCTAAAAGTCCAACAACAGTGCCAACACCAACACTGAGACCGATAGTTCCAATAATAATACCAATTTGTTTACCATTATCAGATTTTTCCGTAGTTAAATCAGGTGAGTTAGTTGAGTTAGTTGGTGAATTGTTTACACTGGTGATAACAATTGGTGATTCTTCAGGTTCGAAATGTGTTACCCATGTAAAATTTCTTATATCAAGAATATAAAAAAACGGTAGTAACTGTATTTTAGAATAATTTGGTATGGTACCTAGTAAATGAATTATGAATAAGTATCTAATCTACCTCTTAAAAGACTGAACTTAAATTAATTAATTTACCAAAATTTATAAACATATAATTTTCAACTAATGTAGCCGAATGTGCAGAAGTTGTTAAAGGCATATTATCTATGGCAGAAACTTGTGGAATTGACCATTCATATGGTGTCGTCTTTGTATTTAATACAGCAAGTTGATTTAAAACTGGTTCATTAGAGTCTTTACTCCCACCAAAAATAATTATTCTTTCATCTGGTGCTATTAAAATAAGTAAACTTTATTAACTAATATTTATAGATTTGTATAAAATATAATATAATATTTACTTAGAACTGCGGAATGTAAACCACGATTTTCCAAAGTAACACCTCGTGCCGTCTAAAAAAGAAGAATTAATAATAAATCTAAAAAATAATTTCATTAAATAAAATATTTAGTTTACCATTATTGACCACTTGTCAACTTTCGTATCATAAAGGGCAAGCTAGTAAGTTTTAAAATTTATTGTAAAGTAATTAAATAATTTTAAATATTATATTCTTTACAAAAGTAATAATATTTATGACTTATTTACCTGATTTATGTCAACATCACGAAAATTATTATCTTTTCCACCAATAAAAACAATAATTCCATTAGATAACAAAGTAGCAGTATAGTACGTACGGGGAAGTGGAGCATTTATTGTAGAGCCTATTGACCAGGTTAAAGAAATAGTATCAAAAACAATCATATCATTATACACTGTATAATTATTTTGACCATTTATTTGTTCCCATCCACCAAAAACATAAAATTTTCCAGTTTCTTTATTAATGACACCATTAATTGCTCTTCTTCTTGTTGGTTCGAATCCATTTGTTATTGGTACGGTCCATTCACGAGTTTCTAGATTATATGAATGTAAAACTGGTTTATAAAACTCTAGACTTGGATTTTTTGTATTCGCATCCACCATATTTCCTGCAAATAAATAAATTACATTTTTTTGAGGGCTAAGAAATGTTGTTGCATATGAACTTCCAAATGGAATTGGTACATTTATTATTTCTTCAAATGGTGGATTGACTGTATTAAATGATTTAGATACATCGAGATATAATATTTGATCTAATGTTGATGATGGTTTTGGACTATGAAGTGACTCTCCCCCCAAAAAATATATTCTCTTATCTACAAGAACTGAACTTAGTGCAGAACGTTCAACCGGAATTAATGATTGTCCAATTTCGGTTGATAAAATCATCAAAAAAAATATTTTTATAAAGTTATCAATATTCATTCTTATCACAATACAGTTTGTAATATTTTCTTCTTTGAAAAAACAAATACCTGTATGCAGAATTGCTCTGAAATTTTTGTATATTTATAAATTTTCTCTTATTTAGAGAATACACCAATAGAGTTATGTAAATACGAAATACGATTATATAGCTAGTACAACGCTATTTTTGACATCAATTATATTATGATGATCATTTACGTATTTAGTGAGTTCCGTATTTACCTAAAGTTTATTTTATTTAATAAAAGTAATGAAATTATATTTTAAAGTTATTAACCAAAAAAAAAAAAAATTGATTCAGTTCTTAAATATCTAATGTACTATAAAGAACAATAGAAAAAACAATAATTGTTTACCAAACTATGAATATGTGAAACATTATCTCATGATTTTACAAATTTCGTGGGTTTTTTTAGAAAATGAATGCATCAATGCAGGGTATTTATATGAACGGGGGTATTTATAAATTTATTTTTTTTCTTTTTTTAATATAGATCCTGAATTTAAAATTTAAAAAAAAACATATGCACACGTGCACTTAAAAGATGATAATTGGCAAATTTAAAAATGTACACAAGTGATATTACACATTAAACCTAAAAAAGCATTGTGCACAACATAAAGCCTTCAGTTACACTCAGAAATATTTATTAAGATCACAAAAATTTAACGAAATAATTTTTCATAATTGTTGACTTTATCTTAAAGTTTCCATAATTTTAGTGTTTTTTACTTTATTATTAAAAAGAAACAGATATTTAAGTTTAAACGACATTACCAACTGCCCGTAACTACCTGTAAGGCAGCCGTAGTGAACTAATTGGCATTATTCTTGTTGCTTGATGTTAGGTTATAAATTTTAAAGCTATGAAACTATTGCATAAATCTTTATTTATAAGGCTTACTTTAAGTAGAAATAAAATAATAAATAAGTAAAATACCATTATTTGTATTGTATATTTACTACCTACTGCAATAACTATGTTATTCATTTATAAAAATTAATTAATTATTACGAAATGACTTGGTATTTTGCTTTTAGATAGCGATAAATTTTGAGTAAGATTATGAATCTAATTAAAAACCTGTTATAAAAAAACATGAGGGCTGTATGGTACATCCCTATATATAGTATTCCCTATATATAGTATCCAAAAAAAGTGTAATGCATACTAGTACCATTTTATAATGCTGTAAACATGGGTTTCTAGTATTCCTACGGTATTGACGCGTTAAATCTTTTTTAGTTATTTAAAAGATATTATTCAAAATCTTTTGATCACTTAATTTAATATATTGTCAGATTTGAATTACCCTATAATCAAGTGGTATTTTAACCAAGGCATGTTACGTACGGAGCAATAGGATTTGGTAATTTGGTTTTACTAACAATAGTTTGATATACACTTTTTTTTAAGCCGAAATACAATAATAGTAATATTGATAATATCTGATATGGGATTACACTTATGTAAAAATTGAAAGTACTTCGTGGGACAAGATGTTTTTTTTTATAGCAAGTTCAATATTATATGACTTTAAAAATTGTACACAAATTTATTAAAGTTTGTAATCAGTTCTTCGTTAGTACGCTATGAACTTCTAAAAGTAAAATTTTGAAAAAACCAAAATGGATAAATATGTTATGATCTACGTGATAATTGTATTTCTTTACAGAAACTTCAAGATCGTAGCGAAGGCTTAATGCGCAGTAACTGCGTTATAAATACATAGTGACCACATTATGTAATCGTAAAGAAATTACATATATGCAGTTACTGCGCATTAAGCCTTCGCTACGATCTTGAAGTTTCTGTAAAGTTTTAATAATCATAATATAATTTTTTTTGGATTAAAAATACAATTTTTAATAATATAATAAAAAAAAGAGGAATAAAACTTTGGACTAAATTTCATTGATATTATTGATATTATTGCAATTTCCAAATGAAAATTTCCATGATTCATTATGATAATGCAGGAGACAATACTGAGGACTTTGCAAAATCTTAAGTATCATGTGCAGTTGATCTAAATAAAAACAGACTATTGAACCAAAAATAAGAATGATTGGATTGGCATGGTAACGGAACATTTTGCTTAATCTAAAATATATAAAGACGCCCTTCAGAAAACAAAGGTTGCAGCATCTCTGTGATGTACAACTGTTAGTTTTCTTGAGGTTTTGCAGCAAAGCCTTGCACTCAAAGATTTGTAATCATATTAAATTCCTAAAAACAGAGAAGGATGTTCACAGTAGCTGTCCCCATAAACTAAGACAGCAAACTGTGGCCACAATGTGTTTCCAGTTCTCTAAATTCAAGAAAGTTCTTAATGAAACAAATAATTGACATGAAAAAGATGTCAAAAGACTGTTGAAAAAGTTTGTTTCTCCTCAACAGATGGCATCTAGATCATACTCCAATCAAGTACATGCTAAGCCCCTTTAAGAACTTATCAGTAATTGATAAGAAAGAAGCACTTGGATATTGCCTTTCAAAGTTCACAACATTTTAATGATAAAATAATACCTTAATATACTAGAATCATTGATTGTATCTGCTAATAGCTAAAAATGAATTATCAGAATATTGTAAAAAAAAAATGTATAATTTTGTTATAAAATTTGGAAAATTAATTGTAAAGTAAAAGTGAAATATTTTTTAAAAAAAAAATATTTACAAGATGAAGGGTATTTTATATAGTTTTTTTTTTTGAGATGTATTTATATAATATGTGAGTAGTGCTTTTTCACATAAGTAAGTAACTGTGATTAATTAATTATATATAATATGTATGCCAATGAAATTGACTCATTGACTCATCATCACGGAGGATTTATGAAATACCCTAAATTTGTCCGTCATGTCAAATTAAATAAATATTTGACAGTCTTTTAGTCACCAAATTTCCCAAATTTATTAGTGAACAGTCAAAAATGAGCCCTAAAAAATTTTTTTGTACCCCAAATCTTGCATCTAACCAATTTTTCCAGTGTTAAAGGTGCGTCATATTTGACATTTTTTAGGAAAAAAGCTTAATGTTTCTGTAAGTCAATTTTAATTCCCGAGGGCGCAGCAGGGTTTTTGCCAAATTTCATAAATCCGCCGCAATGTGAGTTATGACTAATATTATAACAACTCTGATATTTCTTATAGTACCTTGCGCAAATACAATTCTAGTAAAAAATAAATAAATAAAAAAATAATAATAAATTATTTCTATATTTCAATCCAAGTCCTGCGATTTTCCCATGGTTCAAAAGTAATACGTTATTATTACAGTAGACTCGTATTATTTTGACAATTCTGACGTCATGTTGACACTTTTTCTTATTTTATAGAAAAACGGAAATACAGAAAAAAAGATCTGATTTCCCAGTAAAAAGTTCTTGTACCAAATATAGGCCAATTATGAAATGAGCCCATTCGGTATAAAATTTGGCCATATTTATTTTAATTTAATCCCATTTATGGTCCAATTTTTCGTACCAAACGGGCTCATGTATAAATTTAATACAAACCTAATATGAATTCAGTACAGGACTTTTTACTGGGTTTCGGATAGTAGTCGTCAGATTAGAATTTTCCGCTTTATTTAAAAAAAGAGTCACGTAATAAGCCAAAACGACATTCATGGTTAAAAAATGCTCGTTCAAATTTTAAGTCATTAGAGAAAACGAGTAAATGATATTATAGTAAGAAATACGATGTTTCAGGAATAATTAAATAATCCGGCTACCACTTTTCGGTATAGTCTTAAAATACTTTTATAAATATTCCTAGGTATTGTCTATTGTGACTATATAAATTTTTTATTTTACTTGTTTTATTAAAGCATACTTATTTTCTAATAATACACAAAATTATCTATGTAGGCGAGAAACTAGCGAATGTTAAATCATTATTTAGTCAAGTGATAGTCTATCAGGTGATTTATTGGTATAAATTTGAAAAATAATCATATATATGTATATATTATTATTGAGTGATATACCACATTTTTACAAACTATATTAATTAATGTAATAAATGGTAATTTCTTATAAATGAAAATGAGAAAGAATATTCTTCTATTATTTGGTATAAAATCTTTAAATTAAATATTTGTTTTATAATTTTTGGTTAAATAGTTGCCCTGTAAAAAAATGTTGATCCGTGTTTTATATTTCCATGTTTTTTCCGTGGGTGTATCGTTTTCACGAAATTTTTACGAAAGCCATGGATAAATAATCATGGAAATATTCAGATAAAAATTTTTTATAGGATTGGACTCCCAGCAGTAGGTATAGCACGCGTATATTTTTGTTTTTTATAATATTTATAACCTAAAAGTCCAGCAACTGCGATAACACCGACACTAATACCAACAGCTCCAATAATAATACCGATTTGTTTACCATTATCAGGGGTTGTCACACCTAAACCAGGCGAATTAGTTGACGAAGTATTTACAGTAGTAGTACCATTTGGTGATTGTGATAGTTGTTCAGGTTCGAATTTTTCTACCCATGTAAAATTTCTTACGTCAAGAATATAAAAAAATGGTTTCTGTAATAGAGAATCATTTTTTGGATGTACTTGACCTAATAATAAATTATAAATAAGTATTCAGTTTGCTTCTTAAAAAAAAAACTGAATATGAATTAATTAGTTTACCAAAATTTATAAACATATAATTTTCAACTAATGTAGCAGAATGTAAATTAGTTGTTAAAGGTAAAGGAGGAGCTGGTGTTGGAACTGACCATTCATATGGGACTACTTTTGTATTTAACACAGCAAGTGGATTTAGAACTGGTGTAGCAATATCATCTTTATTTCCACCAAAAACAATTATTTTTTCATCTGATGCTATTAAAATAAGTAAAAAAAAAAAAATACCTTATTATTAGCAATTGTTACTTTTATAAATTTGTACTATTAAATTCAATATTTACTTAGAATTGCAGAATGCGAATTACGGTTTTCCAAAGTAACCCCTCGTGCCGTCTAAAAAAGAAGAATTAATGAATCTAAAAAAAATAATCTTCTTAAATAAAATATCTAATTTACCATTGTTGACCATCTGTCAACTTTCGTGTCATAAAGAGGAAGCTAAATTTAAAATTTATTGTAATTAATTAATTTATCCTTAAATAATAAGAAGTATGCAATATTTATTTACCTGATTTATGTCAACACTAACTAAATTATTGGTTTCTCTTCCACCAATGAAAACAATAATTCCATTAGATAATAAAGTAGCGGTATAGTCCACACGAGGAAGTGGAGCGTTTGTTATAGAACCTTTTGACCAGGTTAAAGAATTAATATCAAGTATATTCATATCATTAAACGTTGTTACAACATTTTGAGCATTTGTATCCAATCCACTAAAAGCATAAAATTTTCCAGTTTCATTATTAATGACACCATTTATTTCTCTTCTTTTCTCAGGCGCAATTCCAGTTGTTGCTGGTGGGATCCATTCATTAGTTTCTACATTATACGAATATAAAATCGATTTAAATTTATCTACATTAGCATTTACATCCCACATAATTCCTCCAAATAAATAAATTATGTTTTTTTTTTGAGGACTAAGAAATGCTGTTGCATATGAACTTCCAAATGGCATTGGTGCATTTATTACTTCTTCAAATGGTGGATTTGCGGTATTAAATGGCTTTGATAAATCAATATATAATATTTGGTCCAAATGTATTGAATTTTTTAGTTTACCAAAAACCGACTCTCCTCCAAAAAAATATAATTTTTTATCTACAAGAACTGCGCTATGTCCATGACGTTCAACTGGGACTAATGATTGACCAATTTCAATTGATGAAATTATCAATAAAAAGAATATTCTTATAAGTTTATTAATATTCATTTTATCAATTTATTATCTCGTTGTATATTTTTTTTTATACAATACATAAAAAAAAATACATGTATTATATTGAACTTGCTATTTATATAAATTTCATTTATTTCCTTTGTTTGAAGATTGTACCAAATTGTGAAACACAATCATTCTATTAATAACCCCGAGTGATCGTCAGTAATAAATTTTAAGTTTAATCGTGAAAAAAATCATTTGTTTTATCTTCAATTATAGATAAATTCTACTTGTTAATTAAAATTTTGTTGTATAAAGATAATTTATATGGAGATAATTACGGACTCTTATCATCTTTACTTTAATTTGAAATGATGTATATAAGACTAAAACAACGGAAGTCGTAAATACTGCGCCACATTTATGCAGTTCATTTGCTAATCTCCTAAAATCTCCTATTTAAAATTATTCGGTGCATCTAAATTCAGAATTCTTTACAGAATCTTCTAATTTGAATTCTAAAATGCCATGAAAAGTCACGTTCGCCCAGCTTACTCATTGATACTATTTAAATTAATTGATTAAAATACAAAAAACGTTCTTTATAAAACTCGAAGAATTTTTTAAAATTTTGAGAGAATTACTAGAAGCTCATACGTTTTAATATGAAATTCAAGTACTATGCATTGCGTCTCTCTATATATAATATTCATACTATATATAGATAAGAACAATAGAAATTTAATATAATCAATGCATTTTAATTATAAATTATTTTTTTTATCTGGTCTAATTAGTAAATTGTGCTTTCCCATGTAACGTTGATCAAATTTTTTTTATTTATTTTAGGAAACACAATTACTGAAATGTTAAGATGGTAAAATGAAATTTGATTCGTTAGTTATTTTGTCATCAAACCCTTAATGAATGACACTCCATACTAGGAAATGAGATCCGTTGTGAGTTTGGAACAAAAAGATAAAACTAAATTTGTGATTTTATTGGCTGACGATCAACTTGAGTAGCCAGAGAAACACATGTTTATTTCATCCCACGTGATCGGTGACAAATGATGGAGTCGGATACCACCATTATATGGTGGTATTCCACTTGCCCTAGATTATATTACCACCATATGATCTAAATACCACCATATAATCTGGATATCACCATATGATCTAAATATCACCATATAATCTGCGTACCACCATATGATCTAAATAATATAATCTAATTACCACCATATAATCTAAATAATATAATCTAATTACCATCATATAATCTATTTATTTTCGCGTATCAGGTATCTTTTTTATACTCTAGCTATCCTTTTAAATCTTTCTTGTTATCTGTATTTTTTTTACCATCATATAATCTAATTACCACCCACCATTTAACCTAACTATCATACCACTATATAATCTAAATACCACGCTTTTCTTCTTGTTTCTGAGTCGTTTACATGCTAAATTCTACAATGGAGTTGTTGGCCCTCTGTAGCTGTTTGGATATCTGGTTTTATGTTGAGGATGCTGACCTCTTGCACCTGGTTGGGTGCTGGATTCTATATTGGAGTGCTTTCCCTTTGCGCCTATTTGGTTGCCTTTCTAGATACCAAAATGTGGTAAAAAAAATATAGTGCCGGGTGGCGCAGTAAATTCGTGGTTAATTTCGGCCGGCACTATACCATAATTTTGGCCGATCTTTAGGACATGTGATTTGGAGGATCCAAGCTAGCACCATGGTAATGACTTGGTAGTATCCTGGAGCTGTCATGGAACTAGTGAGGAACTGCCAGGATGCCAGAGAGGTTCCTATTAGTTCACCAGCTTGGATGCAGAATTATTATGTCTAAAGATCTGGCTGAAATCATGGAATAGTGTTGGCCAAAATTAAACAAAAATTTTACTGTGCCTTACTGCACTAATCATGTGATTCAGTTTTAGGCACTTCCTTGTCACTTTCAAGTAACTTTTGAGTAATGTTCGAAAGCCTGGTTTGGTGGTCAGCTGGTTAAAAAATCGGAGGTGTGACATGCCCGGCCCATTTGATTGCTAAAAAAGTACGTTGTCTTGCACCCTATTTGTTGCCGGTATAGGATGAGTTTTATCGGTAAAGCAATATGTATACATAATTTTGAGATGAAATTTGTCCTAAAAAACGTGTCAAACAAGCTTAACGAAAATAATAACACGAATTATTTTACCGGAGAAGCCTGTAATAAGAAATTCCTTTCCCTAACTCGAGCTTATTATGTGAGTAAATGATAATTGTTGGCAGACTAGATTTTGCCTGGCCTGTAAGTGGACAATGTCCGGCCGATTTTTTCCCTAACGCTATATATTTTGTATTAATCATCGCAAGTGTGATATATTTGGTATATGTAGACGACTAAGGCTTATAAAAGAAGGATCCAGGTATTTACACTGTGCCTTTATTGTGATATTTTTTTACGAAAGATACACTAAAAAATGTTTATTATTTCTAGGAGCACAACAGCATCCCAATACAGTAACGCCATCATCATCAACTAACACGCCGAGTAGAAGACAACCATCAAGAATTCCTCGATCTCCTAATAGATCGCGTCCAACAACACCCTCTATATCAAGACCACCTTCTTCTGGTTCCAGACACGTGACGCCCTCATTTTTTCAGAGCGCTGAAACGATTAATATTTATATTAATTATAATGAGCCGGATCGAGAGTGATTTTATAGTTTGATATTCTGTATTAAAGCGGGATTTTTTCATATCTGTAAATAGCTATATTAGTTTAGTAAATTTTGTATTTTTTCATGACTGTAAGTGCGATGCAGTAGAATACGAAAGCAAATGTAATTAATAAAAAAATAAATATCAATATCACTTGACCGAAGGCGCTAAAGCATAAAACATGAAACATGTTTAAAAAACTCAAAGTACAATCTTTATTATATTTTTGTAAAGTAATATGTGAGAAAGAGCCGGCCGGCTAAGTAAAAATGAAAGTAATAAAAGACATTGGAGTAGATCTCGTTTAAAGGGAGGAATGACGCCCAACCTTTTGAAAATTTAGTATAAAACATTAATGGCAAAATTAACTTTAAATATTGCTAAAGAAATTGCACGTAGTAGAGGAGGTGAATGCATCTCTGAAAGTTATATCAATTGTCAGATGCCAATGTTTTGGAAATGTGCTAAGGATCATTTGTGGTCTGCAAGACTTAGTAGTGTGAAGAATGAAAATACATGGTGCCCACGGTGCGCAGTTGAAAATCGTCGTACTCGAACAATCGAAGATATGAAGAAGTTTGCAGAAAAGAAAGGAGGCTTTTGCCTTACAACTGAGTATGTTAATAGACGGGATCCTCTTAAATGGCAGTGTAAAGAAGGACATAAGTGGAAGGCTTCGGCAAAAGATATTCTTAAGGGAACTTGGTGTCGAAGGTGCAGTATACTAGGTCGAAAACATGTTATACCAGATAAAAAACCTATCCCGGTACAAAGACACGATCATGTTACACATCAACCTATTGATATAGCAAATAGTATTGCACAAGAACGAGGTGGTAAGTGTCTTTCTACAGAATATGTTAATGCAAATACTCAAATGCTTTGGAGATGTGCCAAAGGTCATGAATGGTCTACAACTCTTTATCGAATAAAAAATATGGGAAGATGGTGCTCACAATGTGCTGGTAATTTTCCCTGTGGTCTTTCGGAAGCTAAGGAAATCGCTCACAGTAGAGGAGGTATGTGTCTTTCTACAGAATATATAAATCTCTGTGTTCCGATGCAATGGATGTGTAATAAAGGTCATAAATGGTTTGCTAGTTTTAATAGTATTAAGCATGTTAAATCTTGGTGTCCATATTGATTAAATAAACATGAAAATCTATGTCGCAAAGTCATAACTAACATTCTTGGCCAACCTTCCAGCATCCGCCGACCAGATTTCTTGAAAATACCTGAACATCCTCGAGGACTAGAACTCGACATCTATTATCCACAGTATGGATTTGCTATAGAAGTACAAGGTAAACAGCATGAGCAACACGTAAAATACTTTCACAAAGACCTGGAAGAGTTCGAGAAACAGTTGATGCGTGATCAGCTCAAAAAAGAACTTTGCGAGAAGAATTCGATTGTTTTAAGATATGTTTGGTATTACGAAGACCCATATGTAGTTATTCCTGAACATCTTCGAGAATTAGGTCTTATTGAGTAAACTCAAATATTTAAATGCTTTTGCGATTCGTTATTATTTTTTTCGAATATAATTTTATTCATCTAATTATTATGTGGATAATCGTCTGTGGCTTAGTTGTGAAACTTTTCTGTCGCACAGGGTCTATTGTATGACGGCAATGTGATTTTATGATTTTATCAGATTCGGAATTTGAATCAAAAAGTTAATGATTTATATATATGATGATTATTTTTTCATAAAAGGACGATAGTTTTCTTCTTGCTCTTCTAATAGTCTTCTATTATGGCTCAAACAGCAGGTCAATTACTAGGTCAAGCCGTTCCAGTTTGTCAATGGATCCCGCAAAATACACTTAATACAACTTCAACAATACCTGCTTACCCACGGTTTCCAAACAACGTGAGGGAATGGACCGGATTCTTTCGAGCTGTCAGACGTGCTGGTACGACTTTTCCCTTTCCAGGAGGACCATTCCCCACTGGTTTCACAAGCGCAGTACCTCTCAGAGTCGAAGGCGATGCAAAAACTCGTTTACGAGATAATGTTTTAGCGCCTGTCGAAGCATTATTAATACCACAAGGAGCATTTGTTGATACACCTGCCGGATTCTTGGGTGCTTCTGACCATGTTTTATGCACTAATAATTACACAGTGGCCAAGATGCCGGTGGAAATGAAAACGCGTCACAATCTTGATTTACGCGGTTATAATTTCTGGCAAATTTATCGATATAACGCCCGGCGTGGAATAATGAATCCAAGATTTGGAGACCAAAGATTCGATCCAAATTTTAGATTCAAGAAACGTATCCTATCGCAGATATTTGGTGAAATGGCCTGTAATGGCCTCCATTATGGAATTTTATCAAATTATAGCGATACATATTTTCTCAAGCGAGAAGAAACAAATCCAACCACCCTTTATATTTCCCGTGTTGTTCAACCCACTGATACTAATCCGACTTTACGCGAATGCGTTTACTATATCAGCCAACTTGCAATTAATGATAATGTTGGTAATAGATTGGGACATGTAGTTCTTGACAGTTATTCATCTAATGATGATGATGATGATGATGACTCTAGTTACGATGATCCTGATGATTATGACGACCCAGATTACGACCCTGATGACGATTCTGATGGCTCTGATGATTATGGTGATGATTATGCTGGTTTAGGGAAGAGGAAGAGAACATCAAAAAGCAGTAGTAAACCAATTGCGAGTTCATCCAAGGGAATCACTACTGTAGATAAGTACATAGGTGGCGGATCATTTGGAAAAGTTTTTTCTGGATATTATGATAATCAAGATGTAGCATGGAAGACTTGTGATGCATATAAGAAGCAAGAGGAGATGAAAACGCTAAAGCATGAAGCTCATATATATTCCATTTTAAAAGAATGTCAAGGTACAATTTTTTTTTCATTCATAATATTTTTGGATAATATTAACTTGTCTATTGCAATATTGATATTAGGTCGTGATATTCCACGTTTGTTCTACAACGGTTACATTTATGACGGATATCTTTTTGCATTAGCATTACAATTAATTGAGAGCGCCCATCACGTTGATCCGGAAAGACTCACTAAAGAGGAAAAAAAGTTAATAGTCAATCAGTTAAAGTCAATACATAATTGTGGCGTACTACACAATGATATCTCAGAGAAAAATATTCTATATGAACCAAAGAGTCGCCATTACTTTTTCATTGATTTTGGCTTTAGTGAGGTCGTGGGTAGTGAGTCGCCGAAATTGCGCCAGGAAGAAAGAAGATTAAAAAAATTTTTAAAACTTTAAATATTTGGACGCATAGGACTATACCGCATTATCACACTAGATGAAGAATAATTATTATTATTGCAAGCTACAATGTATATATTACTTTCATTTTAAATCATAAAATGTAATAAATCATAAAATAAATCATATATTTTGCACAACTTATTTCCCAATACATATTTATTAAATAGGGATTCTAAACAATTTACAACATCAAGTTATTTCTTTGCTTGATAAGCGAATACAAAATTTATATTTGAGAATGTATATACGCATAAAACATGCACACATGTTTAAAAAATTCAAAGTGAAATCTTTATTATATTAGAAATAAATGAGAGAGTCGGCAGGAAAGTAAAATAAAGTAAATGGAGTAGCAGGTTGTTTCAAGGGAGGAATTAGCCGAGCCCTAACCCAATATAGTGGCAGTTCCTTCCCCGCTACTCCGCATTATTATCTAAACTACCACTAAATTCTTTACTATCTACCCATCTCATAATTGACATCACTGTGCTAAATTTTGGATCCCCTCTACCATAATAAAAATTTTCTACAGTACTCTTTCCAATCTTTTCCCCGGTAAGATGTCGAATTTCACGTCTCACAGTTTCAAGCGCATAGTCATTAGTCTCCCCCACTTCCTTTTCCGAGTCAAAAACTCTCTTAAAACGGTTCCTATTTTCCACAAGAGATGAATTGGATGAACCGGATGAATTACCGGATGAAGAATTAGCGCTTCCACGTGATCGATTAGAAGCCTCGGATTGGTTCTCACTCAACTGATCAAATTCGATCTGAAGTCTTTGGGCAATTGCATAACGTTGGATCATTTCATTTCAGAGAGCTTCAATAGAGGCCCTGACCGAATTGAATTCAGATGAAATTTTGCCAAAATCATTACGGCAGTCTTCTTCAATATCATTGATTATCGATAAAATGTTCTGCGCCTCAGAGAAGTAGCCAGCATCACGTGAATTGATTTTAGCGATTTCTCCGGTAAGTTTCTTATTAAGTTCATTGTTGTTTCTCACAAGCTCCGCAGTGAAGGAAGAATTAACTTCAGAAAGGAGAGTGGAAAGTTCATTGGTGATTTTAGTATTAATTTCAGCAGTGAGTTTACTGAAGATGTTTTCGATTTCCGGTGTATTATTTTTTGTATCAAGATCATTGACGATTCTAGTGACACGTGCAGAAAGTCCATCGGAAATTTTTTGTTTGAGGTTTGACCACATGGTAGCGATCCCCATGATTAACACTGGACCAATGAACAAAAAAACAGCGGTTAAGGTCAAAAAAGGCATGACTCCCGAAGAGTTGAGCAATGATAAACTGGACATGATTAGGCGAAGTAATTTTATTAAGAGATTTTATTGGTGGATCAAGTTTTTTAGATATACTTTTTTTAATATGCAATCTCTTGCGTAAATGCGCTGGGAAAAAGGTTTATTTTATACTGTATGCCTACTACGCGCGAAAAGAGAATTTAACCCGATTTAAATAGATCAAATAAAAAATTACGTTGCTTTATTATGCGTACTTGTCATTATTACATTTTTTTCATAATTATATTTTTTTTCACCTAAAGCCACAGCCTGGATCCCGAACAAATGTCTCTCCCTGAATTGTAATAATAGCGCTTAAAAGTAAATCCGACGAATTACGGTTCTATGACAACTTAATGTAACACTAATGGAGCAATGCCGTGTCTCAAAATTTTCCGTTTATTTCCAAGATCTCTTGCAAAACAGAAGATCGCATGTGGTGCATGTGGCGCATCTTTCTTTGAGTTCAACCCCTATTTCCATTGTAATCACAAAAAAGGAATATAAAATGAAATGGATCGAGATCTGTAGATGACGAATCGCACATGTATAACTAATTCCTATTCAAAAACGGATTAATGTGTGATTAACCTATACACGTAATTTGAATGCGCTAACGTCAGTAGGATAATAAAAATATACCGTTTATCCGAGGATCTGTAAATCATTGATTCTAATCGGCTCTATTTCCATTTTTGAATTTCTTTTTAACGACGCCCTGTCTTACGATCAGCATGTAAATCAGGATGTGTTATTTTTTATTAGTAATTCAGAACTGCGTAATGAGTGAGATAGAACATACCAGAACTTCTTTCGGCTTGGCGCTGGGGAAAGTTCATCAGTATGTCAACACAAAAATATTGCTCTTGGCCGGGGTTATTAATAGATCCTCTAAAAATAACGACTGCGGATGCTGGTGACGTACTACTGCGCATAGAATATTCTGCAGATGACGTTTTACTGTGCACTATATCTAAGCCACCCACGTGATTCGAAAAAAAGAAATATAATTCAGTCTATGTGAATATGCAATTCATCCAATAATTCTCTTAGGCGGTTACCGGAGAGATAATGGGACTCATCATTGGTGAGACTTTCCTTTCATATCTTCCGTTACGATAATAACAACCTCTATCACGCTCACCATATACATTATATCCGCCATATCCATCATATCCATCATCATCCGGTATCTCTTCTTCAGAATCGCTAGAATTGGAGTCATCATCGTCTGAAGTGGTGATGTTCACTTTAGTGGGATTCGCCTCATTGAAAAACATATCTTCATCAAACCACGCCTCTTCCTTGGAATTATCAGAAGAATTAGAGACATGGGTTGAAAGATTAGGTATGGTTGGGACGCTTACCTCAGAAGATTCAGTCACGTGCGCGTTACAATTTGTAACGCCGACCATCTCATCAGCCTTTTTTGGAAAATCATTTATAATACCCTCGATCTGGTTATCAGACAAACCCGAAACCGCACTTGCGCTAGAAGTAACTACTTGGATTTTATCTATTCCTATGCCTGTAAATAGCAAGTAAATTCTTTTAGCTCTAAATTTTTTCTGGCGCAAGTTTACATCAGTAATATCGGGGAGAAGGGCTTTGATCTCGCTGTATACCAATGTCCTTGCCGATTGCTCATTGATATTTTTTACGGACTTGATATCCCTGACTCGATTTTCGTATGCTTTATAGAAGCAATACCAGCATAAAATCTCCTTTTGTCTAACTTTGATTGCTATCCTAAACAGATCAACTATATTTTGCGCCGTAACTTCACTAGACCCCGTAAGAACTGCCTCTAAAGAGAGATCGGGAATCCGAATATCGAACGCCTTATTAATCTTACCACCACTGCCTTTACTGTAAGAGGATAGTTCTTCCCTCAAGTCTCGCTCTACTATTTGATTATAGGGGGTCTGGCTACTTTGCAATCCCTTCCGATTGATAGCCGTTTGCTCTGAATCTGATTTCTTCTGGGAAGTTGCCTCTGGTAACAAATTATGTTCTTCAAGCTTTTTCTCCCGCTTCCTCTGCCTAATCTCATCACTAACCTTTTTCTTATGCACCTCGTCCAAGAAAACATCCGTTTTCCTATCCTCTAACGACCTCCCTTGATCTGGATTCACTTTAGTGGTCACCTCTTCGATGTGTGGGGGCTTACACTGTTTGGGCTGAGCGGGGTCGTAGTTTACTACAGGTAAACATCCATCAGCTATAACTGAATCAGGCATGTTGATAGATTCTTCAAGAATAAAATCATCCATTACCTTATCTGGTATCTCAGGTAGCTCTTCCATTGACTCGGTGTTGGTATCATTTTGCTGGTCTATTACGGAGTCGGGTACATCAACAGCTGATACCTCTGCCATCGTTTCCTTATCGTTCTCCAACCGTTCAGTTGCTTCAGTAACCCCATGTTCCAACATCAAGAGTCTGGCCTCAAGCTCCCCGACTTTAGATTTGAGTTCAGTATTCTCAGCATCACGCTTAGCATCTTTCTCCATAACCTGCTTTAAAAGTTCAGCCTTCTCAGCCTCAAGCTTGGTGTTCTTAATCTCAAGCTCGCTAATGCGCTGTCTTAATAATTCAAGCTCTGATGACATGATCTATATATAACTAATACACTGCATATGAGTATTCAAAATAAAGAAATCACGTGCGCGTTACAATTTGTAACGCCGATCACTTTTGCCAAGAAAAAATTTTTTATTAATACATGCGAAAAATAAATACAAAGGATCGGGACTTTGCCCGTACATGACTCTATTGCTAATATACAAGAAAATTATTCCTTAATAAATTTTTTCGTCCTTGCTCTCTTACTATCCGGAGAATCATCAACTTCGACCCTATCCTTCAACAAGCCAACGATTACCCCCATAACCTTTTTAACACCACGGCGAAGTTCCGCATCATCTTTCATTATTTTCTCGTTAAGTGCTATGTGATAGTCGTCTTTCGAGCAATAGATCCTTTCCGGTGTGTACATTAGGAAGTACCAGTCAGAGGCTAAACAAAAAAGGCACAAGTTAGTATATACGAATGATGGATAAAAAAATCACACAAAGGACTGAAAATCTCTACCCGTAGTCACGATCCCATAGAGATAGTCAAACTCATCATCGAATGCCACGGATGCTTTCCTTTTTCTCGTGTTTGTATGGTGAGAGCTTTCGAGTTGCATTATGTTCTGCATGAATCCCGCTACCAAATCCTTTTGTTTTCCCTCTGTTATGGCTATCAATTCCTCATTGACGACATCTATGACTTTCTTGATTGCGTAATCGACTCGGCCAGATGCTTCTTCGCCTACGACTTCGAACTGGGGGTCCATGGTAATTCCTTTCTTAGTGATTCTTTTGGCGATATAGATGGATGCATATAATATTGGGGAAATATACTCGCAACGCACAGCCTCATTCCTACCAGTTGCAGAACCTATAATTCCCATCCTACGTTTTATCTCTGTTATACACTGCTCCAGCTCCTCGTCTTCATCGTCAATTTCCACAGGCTCTGGCTCAAAGGGCGGAATTTTTGTTATTTCATTGCTATCGATCCCATACTTGCGCAACACCTCACTCAACTCTTTCTTAGTCTTGTACGAGGAGAACGACCTCAGCTTTTTCTCCTTACACTCCTTGGCGAACTTCACGAGTCTCTTAGCTGGTCCTAATTTCATTCCATGACGTTCAAGCTCTTCCTGAGTCAAGTCGAAGAAGTCCCCGCCATTAAGCTCTTCCTTCTCTAAAATTTTGATAGCCGTTTCACTAAGCTCCAAGTTTTTCTGCCCTTGCAAATATTCTATAAGCTTGGCCGTATCATATTTTTTAATTTCGTCCGCCAACGAGACAGTCTCATTTCCAGCAACAGTAGTAGAGGTGGAAGCTGGAGTATAAGGTGTACTGGTTTCAGAAGACATAGTGTTACGTTTTTATAGGGATATTTGGCTCGGACAAAAAATAGTGTTACTTTCCGGAGTGAGATAAAATTTTATTTCTGGGATGGGAAAGAGAATACTGGCCATTAATATAGGTTTTTATGTAGCACAGGCATTGCATCATTACACGTGACCCGTTTCTCATATACGTTCGATAAAATAATACTTTATTTATGAAATAAAAACATTGCCGGTAGCCGGCCTACAATACATAAAAATTGGCCGAGAGGGCTATGCACGACTATACTTCGTGGCTAAGGCCTGTCGCTATTACATGTGAATAAAAATTTCTAACTATTATCAGGGGGGCATACAACGATGCTGACTCTATTTTCTTTTGGTTTAATGCTATCGGGATATGTTTCTTGATCGTTATTAAAATGTATACAGATCTTATCCAATGGATGCAAGCGTTGTCCATAATTCTTATTACCCTCCTTCTCCTTTTTTAGGGGTTCGATTAAACCTAAAGCAATGTTCACATCAAGTACTTTGTAGAGAATAAGTTTACTTGGATCGATATGTTGGAATCGGTTTGGCCACCACTTTCTGATCATTGGTTTGAGCTGGTTGACCAGCTTATCTTCAGATATCTCTAACGTGAAAATATCTTCGAATTCATCACCAGGAATAATGCAATTAAGGCTTAAAATATTATTACTGTTGCTGGTAGTCATCTTGCTTTCCTAAATACAAGGCCCATAGTGAGAAAAACTCGCTCGGTCCCTCTAGGACCCTCCCATACATACATAATTTAGGGCATATACATACCTTATTTTGCGTTAGCTACGCTAGTGAAACTATTTTCTCTGGGAAAGTTTTTTGAGGAAAGTTGGCTGAACTTCTACATACTCCTACATGCTTTATATCTGGCTGGGAAAAAAGAGCGCCAAGCCGAAGTTAAGGAGATAAGAATAGTGATTAGCATTGTCGTATGATGCCAAGAGTTCTATGAAGGCACATGCAAATAGAATTCTCATACCTTTTCACATGTAGATCT